GATCATAAGCTAGGAAATGATCGTATAATACTTCCTTAGACTATGGACAAAGATATGAGACTAATAGAATGCTTCGTTGACTGTTACTTTTAGACTTCTTTCTTGCCCTTTGCGATCAAATTCTTCTTTTCTAAAACAAACCAAATAAAAAGCATTAAAGAACAATCATAATAAAGAAAATATGAACCATTTACAATCACCGATCTGAAAATTTTCACCGTCATCATCAACATCCTCGTTGCCCTAACAACCTACTGACCCAGGTCGTTACTATAAACCGTCAACTGAGGACAAAAAGTATAACTTGTCAAACAGAATGTTTTAAACGCCATGGGAGTCCTATCCCATATAAAAAAATAGTTCAACTCCATTTTTTCTATTAAATTAACATAAAATATATCAATATATTAACGACACGGGTCGCATAACTCCATTGCTTGTAGACTGCATTTAGCGAGTTTTTAAGGAAGTTAGTGACAACAGTATCTACAAATATGATTTGTTTAATTTTTGCCTTGTTGTTCATTATCGTTCCTACGTGTAAGTTTTGGAGGATCCTCCTTGAAATAGGAAAATTTAAAAAAATTATTTAATTCCCAAATTATTGAGATTAAAACATTGATGTAAGTTTTATTTGATATCCTTTTATTTTTATTTGCGCCAATTGCTTTCTATGTTGTTTTAAGTAATCGTATACTGTCTATTTTGAAACTTTATTTTGGCCGATTTTTTTCCAAAAAAATTCTGTATAAAACAATGTTGGATTTTATGTATTTTCCTTATTAATTTATTTCTCTAGTGAATCGTTAGTTGTTATAGTAAAAGTGCGCATTCAAGTCTGTTCACAGCTGCCGTTTAATATTGTCGCTCTACATCTTGAAAATCGTTATTTTCTTGTAGTTATTACGAAGCACTCAGCTTTTCTCGTAAGCGGAATCGTGAAACCGAATTTGTTGTCAGATCTAAACAGCCTTGCGCAACGTTTTGCTTGTTTGAAATTTGTTTCATGTCAACCATTGATTCAATTCACGCTGCAACAGTTTTGAGTGTCAGGTTGAACGAGCGCGTTTCCTGTAATACTTTGCTTAGCTAGTTGGTAAGAAGTTGCAACAGATGTCTTTCATTTTCCTC